TCCCCAGCACCGTTACTCCCTCAACATCCCCCCCAACACCCCCGGTCCACCTACCAGTTTTCCTTCCCCAAGAATATCTCCCTTTTTAGCCGGTTTACCGGTAAACTGGTGGAGTGTAAACTCGAGGATGTAAAGTTAGGTGTGTCTTGTGTCATTCAGGAGAGCGTAGGGTGGAAGGGTAATAGGGAAATGGGAGAAATTGTGGATTATAATTTTGTAGGACGCGCCAGAAGCCCCGTCAGGAACTAGGCCCGAGAGGCGTTCAAAGTCGGCGAAAATGAAGCTTTCAAAAAAGATATTCTCCTCCCTCGCGGCGCTCCCAGACAAAAACAAAATAATCACCTAATAAATAATTAGATTTAACCTATCTTTCCTTACAGATGGAATGAGGAACTAGCCAAAGACGGTTTAATAAACACAAGGTCACAATGCAAACCTTGCTAACAGGACCTCAGCTCGGTAAAAGGGGGTGTTGTCCAGGTATGTTTTTTCTAAAATCTGGCCTTGAATACGCCTTCACAACTATGTCTTAAGTATCTGCCACATTTGTGTCGTCTAATATATGTGACCTGAGCGCCATCTGTTCTCCAAGGAGGGAAGGATTTTCATGCTTCACGTGGTTATATCCTAATGTTTTCTCTGGCTTATTCCTCTTATATCTCCTTCATTCCAGAGTTTGAGCGCTTAATTAATATACCTGCGGTAAGTGTTTCGTGTCTTGTCTCTCTCTATACATATCTGGGCGTCTATCATGTTTGTATCTACATTTCAGGATGTCTGTCATATCATTCATGTCTGTACTGTATATCTATGACTGGGTGTCTTGTCATGTCTTATCTCCACGTCTAAAGTGTGGGGTCGTGTTTATATCTCAGCCCATCAAGGCCGCCAAGGAGCGGCCGAACCCAAAGACGTTTTCGTTAATTTTAAGGTATTCAACCTAAAACTGATTGAATATAAATTAATATTAATGTATATTATAATGTTGCGTATGAATAGGAATAGGATAGATTAGATGTAATTGGCTCTGTTGGTAATTATTTGCAATTTAAAGTACATGAAACATTTAGAGAAGTGCATTCACAACCCGTCCTCGACTCCATTCCATCCAGCGGTCGACCCCGAAGACGCATTCATAAATTTTAACATGCTGTTCATTCAAAACAAGAATTTTCTCAAATATAAATTAATATTATTTTATATTATCATATTGTACATATTTAGGCACTGGTTAGGTGTTTTGGTGGCGATTATTTGTATTTGTAGTACGTGGGTGAAGCATTTAAAGCGTTGCGGTTCGAACAAAATTCGTTAGTGAAGACTTTGTTTCGGAAGTGTTCGAACGTCATCAGTTGTGAATCGTGTGTAAACTGTTTTTCATTCATAAACAGGGGGGGTTTGGCGAGTGCATGGAATGGGCTTTGGCCTTTGTTTAAAGTACGGGCTAATTCAACCACAAGAAGAGAGCAAAGCCCTGTTCAAGAAAAGTTCGAACGTAATCAGTCAGCCTGTTCTCATAATCAAAGACCAAAATCCATTCCATGCCCGTCTTCCAAACAAAGACCCAAAGTCCATTCCATGCACCCGCCAAACCCGCTGTTTATGAATGAAAAACGGTTGACACACGACTCACAACTGATGACGTTCGATCACTTCCGGAAGAAGTGCTTCACTGACGAATTTTATTCGAACCACAACGCTATAAATGCTTCACCCACGTACTATAAATACAAATAATCGCCAACAGAAACTAAACACCTAACCTAACCAATGCCTAAATATGCGCAGTATGGTAATATATAACAATATGAATTTATATTTGAGAAAATTCCTATTTTGAATGAACAACATGTTAAAATTGATGAATTTATTTGGGGTCGACCGCTGGTTGGAATGGACTTGCGCTGAGGACGGGTTATACAAATACAAGTCATCGAACAGAACCTAAACACCTAACCAAACCAATGCCTAAATATATACGATATGGTAATATATAATATTAATTTATATTTGAGAAAATTCCTATTTTGAATGAACAGCATGTTCAATTGACGAATGCGTCTTTGAGGTCGGCCGCCGCATGGACGAGCCTAGCCCGAGGATGAGTTGCATTGTAACCTAAACGTTCCCTACTTGTGTAAAGGAGGAATGTATATGTTTATCTCTCAGAATGTTTGGTAATATGTTTATTGCTTGTGATGTGTTTCTATGTATGTATTAACACGATGTACTGAACGGGGTGAGAATAGCTTGAGCTACCTCATCCCTTTGTGTGTATTTTACCTCAAACTTATTTCAATTTCAATTAAACGTTCCCTAAATCAACATAACCAAAACACCATAAATAGATAACTATCCAGGCCTAACAATGCATAAACTTATATCACTGACCGCAACTCATCCTCCTGTTTAAATAGTATCTATTGTGATGATCGTCAGTAGTGAGAATGCGTACTTTCTTGGCTATTAGACAGTAGTATACTGACTAGTAAGGAATTCTTTTAAAATAAATGAAGCTAAAATACAAACTTAAATATTCTTAGGCCTAGTATAGCACACATATGTACTATATTAAGCCTCAGATATCGTGTATTAGGCTCAGGGAGGTTAATATAGGTTAGGTTAGTTTGTCAAAGAAACACAAGTAAACATTAGTTTTCCGGTTTGTCCAACTCAGTATTTCCGATTTCGACTTTCTAATTTCGCTGTACGTCGATATATAATATACTCTGGCCCTCATCGTTACTATAAGTGCTACCAAAACAGGAGGATAGGCTGTCAATAGTCACACTGCTTCTCCTTTCTCCTGATTCTCACTTTACCTTGGGTAATACCAGTGTGATCAAGGGCTCACCATAGACCGTGCTACTTGGAACTTTTGGTTCCAGGTAGCGAATCTTAAACAACAACAACCATTGTGATGTATCTATTTGCGGAACATTATATATAGCATCAAGTTGGGATCACAAGAGGATTATTTTATAAATTGACAACCACGTCCATGAGATCGGTTAGTACTAACATTGTACAAAATAAATATAAAATTTGAAAGATGATATTAGGATCATGAACTTTGCTGATAATGGAGAGTTTTGACTCATCAAATGAAAATAGAGTATTGAAGGTTGATCTCATCAGAGTTAATAGTCCAGATGGAGAGCGAGTTATTGTCCAATTTTGACACGAGTGAGTGTTAGCCTCAGCTGTTTGTGTTCAAGGTGATATGACCTTAACACTGTGCCTGGTGTGTCCGTAGTGTTGGTACCTCTGGTGTGTCAGTAGTGTTGGTACCTCTGGTGTGTCCGATGTTGGTACCTCTGGTGTGTCCGTAGTGTTGGTACCTCTGGTGTGTCCGTAGTGTTGGTACCTCTGGTGTGTCCGTAGTGTTGGTATCTCTGGTGTGTCCGTAGTGTTGGTACCTCTGTTGTGTCCGAAGTGTTGGTATCTCTACTGTGTCCGTAGTGTTGGTATCTCTACTGTGTCCGTAGTGTTGGTACCTCTGATGTGTCAGTAGTGTTGGTACCTCTGGTGTGTCCGTAGTGTTGGTACCTCTGGTGTGTCCGTAGTGTTGGTATCTCTACTGTGTCTGTAGTGTTGGTACCTCTGATGTGTCAGTAGTGTTGGTACCTCTGGTGTGTCCGTAGTGTTGGTACCTCTGGTGTGTCCGAAGTGTTGGTATCTCTACTGTGTCCGTAGTGTTGGTACCTACCTGTACTGTACCTCTATTGAGAGGTCTATACCAAAGAGTGTCTATGGGGAAGTGAGGTCTATAACTCTTCATGTCCCGCCCATTAACTTTGTTGTACCTGTTACGTTTCAATTTCAAACTTTCAAAATCTCAAAATCAAAATCTAACTATTCAGACTCATTTTGTTTAATTAACATTAAAGTTGTGGAATGAGGTAACTTCCGTACGAGTACTCCTTACATTCCTTCAGCTCCTTTACTTTCCCAGCTGCTTCTTCCTGTATCCCCTTGTCCTGCGTGCTCTTAATCTGATCCTTGTCCACCGTATCTACTCCCCTCAGTATCTTGTATGTTGTGATCATATCCCCGCTGGTCCTTCTGTCTCCTAGGATTGTATGATTTAGTTCAATTATCCTATCTTCGTAGCTTAGCACTGCCACCAATCTTGTTGCAAACCTTTGTAACTTTTTTCAAATTTTGGTTTTAGGCTTCTCAAGGTGCGGATTTTATGCCGGTGCTGCATATCTCGGTATTGGTCTAACAAATGTTGCGTAGATGTTGTCTAAGATTCGCTACTTGGAACAAAAAAATCCAAGTAACACGGGCTATGGTGAGCCCGTAGCGTGCCTTGAAGGCGTCATGGTTTAGGTTTCTGTACGACGTTCTTTTATCTGCCAGCGTCCCATATGCTGCCGATGTTATCGTGTTTATGTGTGGAACACTCTCTTCCAGGTGCTGTGTACCGTACTGGCTTAAGCTGGTACTCTTGATAATCACATTACATATCACCAGCCCCGGCCGGGTTCCCACGCCCGGCTCAATGTCCTCCCGCCACTCCCACTCTCTCCCACATCTCTCCCTATTCACTGGACATTCAACTCAAAAGGACAATGAACCCATAATCATCACTACCTTTTCCTTATGATGGATTTTTTCTACCCACGGAGTTTTCCCAGAACGTTTCACAAGGTCGAAAATATCTTCCAAGATTTCCTCCTCCTTCCGAGATAATAATAATAATAATAATATTAATAATAATAATAATTTTTATTTATAGTAATTATATTTTAAAACAAGATACAGTAGAGTTTTCGTAGGTACACGGTGTAATTTCTATAATGCCACTAATAGGCACAGCCTGTCCCCAACCTCTTCTCTCAACTAATATATCGCATTTTTTTTACGATAGCGTAACCAATGATACAAATGCAATCTATTATGACAAATAACAGCTCATAAATATTCACGTTTTTAATGCATCGGCCGCAATAGGCTTGGCAAGTTGTTTGGGTTCCAATGTTTTGGGTTAAGTC